AAATCTAAAAAGCAAAGGTGCTCCAGTCAGCTGGTCAGTTTCTTCATTGTGCAGATGAGGAAGCCAGAGGTCTAGATGGGGCCACAGGAGCTTGTTAAGTAAAAGCCAGACAGGAGTACGGGCAGCAGGACACCTGTGTGCCAACAGAGTGACACTGCCTAAGCAGAGCTGGGCTCTTAGGACACCTGCAGCACTAGGGTCCCGCGACGGTCATGCTGTTGATCTGTTAGAGCAGTGTTCACGAAGCTCAAAAGCTCGCTCATGCCTTTCTTTTTTTGAGACAGCGTCTCGCTGTGCAGTGCAGGCTGGCCGCAAGCCCACTTGGCTGTTGGTCCTTTGTAGGGACGCACTAGCGTCTGCTGCTTATGGGTTAGGGCTCACGCTGCGCACATTGAGATCAGAATATTGAAAGGGAAAAAATAAAGCTGCTCTTGGTGGCAAGAGTTGTATATCACAAACTTCTAACACTGTCTTCATAGCATTATACCTTTTATTTTTATTCCACAACATGTATAGTCCACAAGCCTATCACCTTAAATGATAAATCTTGAGTTTTCTTCAATAAGATGAAGTCAGTTAGTAGTGTATGTTAGGGATCAAATTGGAAAAAGTTGAAATCTTTTAGTATGATAAGTAAAGATTTGCTTTAAAAATTAAGCTTCATCATATACTTACTTATGGTAACTTGAAATTAAAACTTCAGGCCACGCATTGTGGCGCATGCCTGTAATCCCAGCATACAAAAGGCTGAGGCAAGAGGTTTGCTGTGAGTTTGAGGCCAGCCTGAGCTACAAAGTGAGTTCAAAGCCAGACTCTTAAAGACAAGGGGCTGGGGAGATGGCTCAGTGGAATAAGTACCTCCCTGGCAAGTGCAAGGGCCTGAGTTCAGTCCCTGGTTCCATCAAAGACAGTGGTGATGATGACGACGATGATGATTTAATAAAAATTGTTATCCTATATTTGGTACACTTGAATCCTTCCCAGAGTGACAGGATAAAATACATTTTTTAAATATTTTTTTAAAAACCAAGGGACTTGTAAGGACTTAAAGTTCAACATATCAATATCTGATGAAAAAAAAAAAAAAACAAACCAAGGGACTCAGGTCAACAGTTTCTGACATTGCCAATGAAGTGGAAGACCCAATACTATTATGGGCTACTGGACTCTTTTAGAATATTTTGCTGAGTTAACATACCTATAATATTCAAATGATGGAACTAAACAAAAAAGG